CATCTCTTCTTGTAGGTTCTGGCCAAATCCTCCTCCCATCCTCAAAGTTAGCCCATGAGGGGACTATCCTCAGTTTGAGATGGCTTGTAGAAGGGGAAAGGCTAGTCATATTATAGTTTCAAGCCAAACAAAAAGGAGTAGTTAGTATACTTGGTTCTGTCCTACTGTTCAAGACCTTTGGACCCCATTGTAAACCCAGGAAGTGGCAAATAAGCCTGTAGAAAAACAGCTTCTGAACATCTTGTTCTCTAGCCTTAGATTGCTTCTACCAAGAAGTTTTGCTGGTTATGACGTCTTCCCAGTGGACCCTGTCCTGGGGTGAGGGGCTCTGATAACATTGTATTTTCTATTCATCCTTAAAGATTTGTCACCATTTGCCATCAGGCAGATTCTTCACCTCTACTCTATTCTGTAACAAATGAGTGAGAGAAAGATGATTTTAAGTATCCAGAACTTATGTGTATTAAGACCACTTCCAATCTAAGACCTAACTTGGAAAACAGGATCATGAATCTCACCACCAGACTGCCAACCTGTTTTGATAACTTTCACCTCCTGTTTTATTTTCATGGTATTGGTAAAAGTCCAAGTAGCTTGTCTGGTAGCAAAGACCTGATATTCCCTTATAGGCTTAATCAGATCTCTGGGGTTGGAGCCTGGGCATAGGTCTTTTTCTTTTCTTTCTTTCTTTTTTTTTCTTTTTTGTGTGCTTGTCTGTTTTAAGCTCCCATATTCTAATGGGTAATCTGTGTTGAGCCTCTGATTTAAACTCTCAGTCCTTCATCCAGATTGCATGCATGATGTATCTGGCTTTCTAAGGCCAACAACCTATCTCTAGTTCCCCAGCCCTTAGCGCACACAGCGCCTCAAGAAAAGTTTTAGAGTAGTAGTAGTATTTAAAAACAAAACAAAACAAAACACAACAGTATTATAGTAGTAACTACTCCTGTCATTTTGTAGTAGAAATTAACAGAAAGGTGACCTCACTTCCACAGTGACCCTTCTTGAAAACTTTTGACACTTCTCAGTCTCTTTTGGTGAATCCTCTTTCTTCACTACCTCTTAAATAAATGTTGATGTGCTCAGGCCTCTTTGTAGGCTGTATCTTCTGTCCAGGTGATCTCATCCCATACTCTCGGATTTCACTCCACCCAGATCTGAATCACTAGCCCAGATTTCTACCCCTGAGCTTGACCCATGTATCTAGCTGCTTCCTGTGCTGTTCCATCTCAGCATTCCACAGATAGTATACATTCCCCAGTATCAGATATGTGTCTCTTGTTTTCCCTGTTATATGAGGGAGTACTACTACTACCAAAACTTTTTTTTTTTTTTCCTCTACCAAGACTTTCAAGTCAGAAGACTGGAAATTATCCTAGTTTAGTTCCCTCCCTCTCACCCCACCCTTCATCAGTCACCCTCTCTTTCCCCTTCTGTGTATGGGGATCCTGGGGGATCCTAACCACTTCTCTCCATCCTCATCCCTTTGGTCCACCCCATTTCACTAGGCTAGACTCTTCACCTTCAGGCTCACTGTCCTCCATCTTATTCCTCACTCCCCCAACCAAACTTACCTCAAAAACAGAGTTGTGATAGACGGCTCCCCACAATCTGCTCCCAAGCCTTACCCTCCAGCACTGTCAGGACCCTTCTTCTAGGTATACACCACTTTGTAAGAGGCTCAGAAACATTTGGAACAATAAAATATAAATATCCTTGTTACTCTAAGGACCTGCAGACCTAAGGGACTGCATCATCTGGGATCTTATGAAAAACTTAGAATCTCAGGTCCCACCCTAAACTTACCATATCAAAATCCTCATTTACAAGACCTCCAGGTGATTTATGTGCACATTGAAGTTTGAGAAGCACTGAGTTATAAAACAATTTTTAATGAGTGGAGAAATCAGAGCTATGGGAAAATCTGATGAAGTCAGAACTGAAGTAACATTAATACTGTTAAACGGATGACGTCTGGTGGTCTGCACTTAAGGGGGGGTGGGTGGTAATACTGATTCTGAGGAAATCGGAAGACAACTTGATCAAATCAAGATTTTTAGTATATGTAGGTACTAGGCTTAATACTTTCTCTTCCACCACCCCTCTCCTGCCTCCTTTCATATCACAGTGCCTACATCAAAAAATCCCCTAAGGCCAGACTCTCTGATCTTCCTTTCCAGGGGGCTAAAGACCAAGCCCTCCTCACCAGCCCCCTGCCCTTCCTTAGTTTCCTGAGGTTAGTTAGCTGTGGCAGCAAGTTCAAAGAGCAGGCCTCTCTTATCCCCCAACATCTATTCATTATTCCCTCCAGGTACCACTTCTTCCAAAAAGGCCACCCTCCCTCCCTGACCTTCCCCTTCCTGCTGTGCACCAGGCCATCGGGCCACTTTTTACCCTGTACTGTAATTGATTAATGGGAGGCAGTCCCCAGCTGTGCTAAAGGGCACAGGCTTTGGAATCAGATACTCTCAGGTCTGAATCCCAGCTCCCCCTCCTACAAGATAAGACTTTGAGCCAGTGACTTAAGCTCTCTGGGCTTTCCTCTCCTCACCTGTAAAATGTGGCTAATAATAGTACTTTACTGTCCAAAACCGTTGAGAGAAATGGGTGAATTAACACATGGCAGTAATGTGTGCCATACCTCACCGGGCCCCGGCGCCCGGTTTAAACAGTAAATAGCTTGAGTGGCTGCAGCGCTCCGAGTCAGGCTGGCCAGTGTTGAGCCAGGAGGAACTGGAGGCCTGTGCGGGGCGCGGGACCCCTTTCACCTTTCGACTAGTCGGGCTTTGCCCCTCGCGACTAAGGCGGGGCCGTCGGATTGAGTGACGGCTAGTGGCCCGCCCCGGGCGTGACGTCGTCCTGGTGTTGTTGCTGCGGCCGCACGTGGTCCACTGAGTCCGCTTCAGAGTTAGCTGCGCTCCGCGTCCTGGGCACCAGCCGCTTGCCTTCCTGCTTGTCCCGCTCACTATGTCCACATACACGAGCTGCCCGATTCCGGGGGGCAGGGACCGGCTGCCCGACTGCTACAGCACCACGCCGGGGGGCACGCTATACGCCACTACCCCGGGAGGTCAGCGGGCCGGGCTGGGGGTCCGCGGGCATTGTGCAGGCCGGCGCGTGCGTCCTGCCGCGGGGCGGGAGTGGGGAGGTGCAGGCCTTGGATTCTGTCCGCAGGCCCTTTTGCAGGTTGTAGCTTTTGCAGGGGGTGGGGGATATTTGGAACTGAAGCCCAGTTCCCTGAAACCTCAAAGTAATGCATGATGGCTTAAAGCCTAGCTTCCGGGTGACTGTGGGCTGAAATCCTCGCTATGGCCTGGGTTCTGGGTTCCTTGGTCACCGGCTCCTCCCGACTTTGCCGCCTGGGATTAGGAGCCAAAGCCCCAGCAGTGCGTGGCCTCAGCAGGAAGCACCAGGTCTTACAAAGCGACTAGAGCAGGACTCAGGCAGTTGGGGCCAGGAGCTTTGGGTATCTGCGGCTGGCTGGCTGGCTGGCTGGCTGGCTGGCTGGCTGGCTGGCTGGCTGGCTGGCTGGCGGCTGTTTGGTTGGGCTGATTGCCTGGGATCTTGAGCTGCTGGGCTCCCCACCCAGGTTTTCCTGCTACGTGGAGCAGAGGGGAGGGGCAAGAACAGGGTAGGGCCCTTTGAGGACAGAACTGGGGCCAAGTTTCTGTAGGCTGGGGCTGAGCCTGATAGGACTTGGGAGGGGTCAGGATAAGAACAGTCTGTCCCTGTGTTTCCTGGGAAAGCAGCTGTCCAGAAGAACACAGCTTCTCCCTGCAGGGTATCAGGATCCAGGGGGCAGCGGGGTGAAACTCTTTACATCTGCTACTTGGCTTCCTGAGCTCACTGCCTGAAGGACTAACGTCCCCCAACCAAAGTAGGGAAGTCCCAGAGCCAGCAGGGCCAGACGAGAACAGTCCGAAGTACCTGAGTTCTCCAAGTTTTGTGCTCCTAGAACTGAAGCTTCCCTAAATCAGAAGCCCCTGCCTGGAGCAGCTGGGATGCCCCCCCGCCTTGCTTTACAGCACTTAGCCACATCTTGGTTGGACCTGGAAGTCTTTAAGAGCTCTGAAGCCTCATCAGCTGAGGTCCCAGCTGGGCTGCAGAGCAGCAGCCCTTTAATACATGAGGATGTGTGAGTCCCAGGTCCCTAACAGGCCTGTGTGTGACACTCCCTTACAGCTCTGTACCCAGGCTCCAGCCTCTTAACTGGTCCCTACCCCTTGACAGGCACCAGGATCATCTACGACCGAAAGTTCCTGCTGGAGTGCAAGAACTCACCCATTGCTCGGACGCCCCCCTGCTGCCTCCCTCAGATTCCCGGGGTCACAACTCCTCCAACAGCCCCACCCTCCAAGCTGGAGGAGCTGAAGGAGCAGAAGGAGACAGAGGAAGAGATACCCGGTAAGGAAAGCAGGGCCTAAAATTAAATGCTTTGAGTCCAAATGCCCCTGTTAAGTAGAGTGGGGGTTTAATGCTGAGAGGGTTTTCTGCACTGATGCTAAGCTTTCTGAGCTTGTGGCCCAGCCCAGCAACCAGTCCTGCCTTCTCTTTCTCCAGATGACGCACAATTTGAAATGGACATCTAATCCAGTGCAGATGATCCTGTGTGGAATTAGAGGAATCCCTCATACCGCTGCTGCCATCACCTCTTCCTGGTGTATTCCAGACACCAGGTGGCCTCATATAATCTGGAAGGGAGTGACTTGTTGGTTTTGGGCCTCCCTTAGTTCTGAGGCAGCTAGACCAGGGATAGGAGTGGGCAACTTGCCAAGCCCTTAGCTCTACTTTCCCTTCGGTCTGTAGGTACTCCTCCCAACCCCCAGCCCTCCAACATCAGGGGCTGAGGCTGGGACTAAGGGATGGAGTTATGTCACTGTCTGATTGCTTAGTAAAAATTCAAAGAATGCTTTGACTCCGGTGTTCTCAACACTGACCTTCCTATCTCAGCCACACGGCCAAGGGCCCCAGCAGACCTGGTTAGGATCAGAGGTCCCAGGTCCCTTCCCAGCTGTCATTGGGCCCACCTCCAGCAGCAGTTAAGAGCCTAAGCCAGGCTATGGGGGCAGCCTACAGGAGCCGCCAAACCATAAACAGTAGTAGCCTGACCCCAGCCAAGGGCCGTTCCAGCCTTTCGAGGAAGCAGCCTTCCTGGAATTGGGCCTCTCGGGCAGTCCCTCCCTGTCTGTTCCAAAGCAGGAAAAAAGAGGCACTGCCTTAGAGTTTAACCTTCTCCACTCTCTCCATGCCTTTTCTGCCTCCAACCTGTAAGTATCATCCCCTGTTCCAACACTGAAAACCTATAGTCCCCCCTCTCCGCTTGATTTGAACCTCTCTGGCCCCTTCCACCTGGCTCTCTTGTCCTCAGAGGGTTAGAAGAGACTTTAGGGCCAAAAATGAGGTAGCAGCTCTTTTGGTGAGTCAGACAGAGTCATGATCCTACCCCTAACCAACCCCCGGCCCCCAAAAAAGTCATGATCCCATATCTCAGCAATCTGGTCTTTTTCTCCTTCAATTTATACCGCTATGTTCTAATCTCTATAGCACTGTGTATCTCAAAGGTGACGGTGCTAACAGGGCGGTCTCCTTTTCTTGAGGGAAAAAATCTCCCCTGCTATTTAAACCTCTGTTCTTATGCTGAAACGAAATTATCCAAAAATAGAGATACTCAGCCCAGCAAGGAATGTGTGTTTCCGTCTATTTGGGGGGAAAGTGGCAGGCAGTAATTGGTCATGCCTAGCAAAGCCATTCATGACGAAAGGAAGAAGAGAGGTTTGTAGGGTACACAAGGAGCAAGGCAGTCAAGGACACCACAAGCAACTAGTTTGGCACAAGAAAGCCTTCTCTCTCCTACCCAGGGCCCACTATTAAGATGTTTTTATTGAAATGATATGTTATGGGTAACAGGTGGCTTCCCTGTGGCCCAGGTGGCTGACACCTCTTCCCCCAGAGATGGGTAGATCAGGCAAAGGATCCCAAGGAGGCAGACAGTCTCCCAAATGGTAAGGGAGCCAGGTGAGAGAAGGCCAAGGCGTAGGAAGTGGTGTGAGTCGGGATCCCACGGGGGATTATGGAGCCTCTTGGACGCCTGGTACCGTCTGGTTCTCCTCAGCTGTGGCTGTAGATTTCTCTTCATTGGACTCTTCCTCTGAAGACAGATTCCTCTTTTCTGCAATTAATCTTTTAACTCCCACCATCCACTGACTGACCTCAGTCACATGGTCAACCATGAGTGAGCGGTGGATGTCATCTGCTGCATCCCACTGGTGACTTGAAAGCTCTGAGGAAAGAGAGGAGGTAAACAAGCAGCTTGGGGCAAAAGACCTAGCTCTCAGGCCTCTGATCCCAACCAGTCAGAATCTCAGCATCTCTTCCATCTGAGCCGTCCATGACAAGTTGAGGGAGCTAGGCTAGACCAAGGACCTACCCATACCTTGCACCAGCAGAGCCATCCTCTTCTTCACAGGCACTGACAGCTTCCCTCCAGCCCACTGTTCCCGCAGCAGAGCCAGGCGGCGGCTGATGTCATCACATACTTGCTTCTGAGAGACAGAAGCCCCCTCCAAGTCAGTGCTGCTAGCCCAACAGGAGTAGGGGAAAGGCAACACCAAACAGGAAGTGGACCTGCTCTCTCTGGCCCAGAGAAACACTTAAGAGTTCTGGGTAGAGGCCCCACGGAGAATCTGACAAAACTCATGGATCTCCTCCTCCCAAGAAAAATGCATATATGGCTAGAATTTTACAATTTCCAGAGTTTCTCAGATCCTCCGAAACTCATTCTGGAGTGCTACTTTACAAGTAAGAAAATGAAGGACCGCAGTCCTTTTACCCCCCCACTGGTGTGCCAGGGCTTATTACCTTTGTGTGGCCACGGCAGTCCTCCAGTGCCTCTTCCAAAGGTTTGAGCACATCTTCCAGCAGAGTTTCAGATTCGATGACTGGGTAATTTGTTGGCTCCACACTGGAGGCAGGACAACTTCCCGCAGGTGGGGGCCTGGAAGCCTTATTTGAAGGAGGTGGAGGCCCCACTGGGGGAGGCCCCACTGGGGGAGGCCCAGGAGAAGTCTGTGAGGTGGGGACTGAAAAGGTAAAGCGGGATCAAGCAAACATGGCTAAAACAGGTAAAAAGCTCGATTCTACCTTCATCCCTTCTAGAAGGCTACTCTCTGGGACAACTCGTTCCCTCAAAAATGTGTATTTATGAAGTCTCTACCATGTGCCAGACAATGTGCAAGGCACCAGACACAGAGTAGTAAACCAGATGGATTAGGTTCCTGACCTCAGCAGAAATCCTAGGGAAAGAAAACACACACACACACACACACACACACACACACACAAGACAATTACCAAATTATGTTGCATGCTACAAAGAAAACGTGATGTAATAAAGAGGAATAGTAGGGGCGCCTGGGTGTGTGGCTCAGTTAAGCCTTGGACTCTTGATTTCGGCTTAGGTCATGATCTCATGGTTGTGAGATGGAGCCCCGAGTCAGGCTCCTCGCTCAGCATGGAGGCAGCTTGCTTGAGATTTTCTCTTCCTTTCCCTCTGTCCCTCCCCCCACTCACGCACACTCTAGCTCTGCTCTCTCTCAAAATAAAATCTTTTCAAAAGGGGGGTATAGTACAGGGAACCACCTAGACTGAGTGTTCAAGGAAGGCCTTCTGAGGTGACTTCTAAGTTTATCCTTGCTTACCCACTATGTGGCATTTGGCAGGTTACCCTTAACCCCTGAGCTTGGGTTCCTTTTCTATAAAATGGGGATATCATGGTAGTAGCACTTACTTCACAGGATTGCAGTGATGATTAAGTAAGAATACAGGTGCAACTGCTAGATTACTGTGTAACAAAAAGTGTTCACAAAGTTAATAGCTAATGGATGAGGTAGCTGCAGCCACAAAGAATCATGTACCGGGCAGAGGTAAGGGCAGTGCCTAAGAGCTGGGTAAGTCCTGACTTGTTCAAGTTACACAAACCAGCCCTGCATGGCTGGAAATTATTAACACTGAAGAAAGCAGTATTAGCTATCTCTGGAGAAGCAAGCAGGAGTCCAGACCGTATAGGGCTTTGGAGGCTTTTGGTCTTGAGCCTAATGGTAATGGTAAGCCACTGCAGGTTTATAAAAGCAGGGGATGATGTAACTAGACTTGTTTTTTAAGACATTCACTCGGTATGGTCTGTGAAAAATAGATGAGAATAGGTCAAGAATGGTGTCATGGACAACAGCTGGGAAGTTAATGGAGTAGTCCAGGAAAGAGAATTCTGGCATGGACTAGAGAGCAGATGAGGGGAAATGGAGTGGTCTGAGATTTATTTAGGAGGAAGCAACAGGACTTTGTGGATTGGGAGTGAGGGAGAGAGGAGTCAAGGATGACTCTCGGTTTTTGCCTGTAGTAATGGGATGGTCGAAAGCACTATGGAAAAAGAGAAGGGAAAAGTCAATTGACTTCTAGGCATCAACATTCACATGGATGATTAATTCATCTTATAGTCTGGCCTCTCAGTTTCTTAAGCTCCTCGTCTCCAATGATGATTTTTCCCACCCACCCTCAGCCTTTCACTCTTCTCTGCCTTGTTCTCAACAACACTGTGCCATCTCCAAAACCTGACCACCTCTCCTATCCTTCCAGCCCAATCAATCAGATTTCATGCATTAAAATCACTCCCTTATAGACACTCTTACCTCATTTTGTCCCCTCCCACTGTCCCACTTTCCTGGTAAACCCAACTTGCCCGCACTTGTTAGGAGGAAAAACAGAACCATGCTGTTGAGTTACACTTCAAATTCATGGGTACAGATATTAAAAGGTATCCAACACTATCTGGAATTCCTATTCTTTGCCTCATTTTTCCATTCTTCAGAACTCTTCCCATATTTTCTCCCTGAATTTTTCTATCTTCTCCCCCTACTTTTCCTTTCCCTGCATTCTGCATCCAACAGTGCCTCATATTTCACTGAGAAAAGGGAGATGGTTAAACAGGAACTTTTCTCCTCTCACCACCAGTTCTACTAATCGGCCTGTACCTGTGGCCACTTTCTTTCCTCTGATAGATGAAAGTTTCCTGCTCCTTTCAGAGGCCATCTTTCCAGCTATACTAATGCCAGCCTCTTGTCTTCTCTAGGTTTCTCTCCTGCAGTTATCCTGTTTTCCTGCCCCAGCAGTTCTCCCACTGGAGAATCATCCCATCAGCATACAAACATGCTCTAGTGTTTGCCATCTTAAAAACAAAAATCCTCCCTTACCTCACATTCCATCCTTAGGCACAGCCTCACAGCAGAATTTCTTGAATGAGCTATAGTCTATAGTTAGTCTCTCTACTTCTTTTTACATTCTCTCCTCAGCCCATCCAGCTGGGTTTCTACTCTCATCACAGACTGCTTCTGTGGTAACCAGTGTCTTAACTTAGTTTGACACATCTAGTGGTCCCTTTTCTCGATCTGTCCTGACCTCTCAGCATCATCCATCATGGTTGAGTCAAAATTTTACTCTGAGTAAATTTTACTTTTCTTTTTGCTGCTTTAGCTATTTCTCAAGGCCCTTTAGTAATTCCTTTCCTACTCAACCTTGAAATGCTAGAGAGCCTTGGGGCTCCATCTTGGACCCTCTTTATGCCTCTCTCCACACATTCTTTTTAAGTAACCTCATTCAAGCCCACACCAAACACCATCCATACAATCATGACTCATTTCTGTAATTCTGGCCTAGACCTCTCCCTATGGTAGCAGCCCAAATTTAACATGTCCAAGACGAAGCTTGCTTTTCCCCTCCCCCCAAACCTTTATTGCCCCCCATCCCCTGGTTTCCCGTATCTATGAACAATATCAGCCAGTTCAAGCGAAAAGTTTAAGTTATATTGGTTCTTCTTTCTCTCATCTATATCTACCTTACTGACCTCCTCAGTAACATCCGCCACATCTATCCAATCCCTGCTACCGCTATACTCTGACTCTTGGCCAAATCGTTAAATCTTGCCCATGTTACCGAAATAGCCTCTTAATTTGCCTTTCCACATCTTCGCTAAAATCTGTTGTCCATACAGCGGGCGCAGTGATCTTTTTTTTTTTTTTTTTAAAGATTTTTTATTTATTTATTTGAGAGAGAGAGAGAATGAGAGATAGAGAGCACGAGAGGGAAGAGGGTCAGAGGGAGAAGCAGACTCCCTGCCGAGCAGGGAGCCCGATGTGGGACTCGATCCCGGGACTCCAGGATCATGACCTGAGCCGAAGGCAGTTGCTTAACCAACTGAGCCACCCAGGCGCCCACACAGTGATCTTTTTTAAGATGTACATCGGTCAGTGTTTCTCAAGCTGGGGAGATTTTGCCCCCAGGGGCAAATGTCTGGAGGTGCTTTCGGCTGTCACAACTGAGTGAATGCTACTTGGCCTCCAGTGGGTAGAAACCATGAATGCTACAAACATCCTACAAAGTACAGGACAGTCCCTCACAACAAAGAATTATCTGGCCCAAAATGTCAGTCGTGCCAAGGTTAAGAGACCCTGGTTTGTGGGGCACTTGGGTGGCTCAGTCATTTAAGCATCGAATCTTGATTTTGGTTCATGTCATGATCTCAGGGTCGGGAGAATGAGCCCCACATCAGGCTCTCCCTGCTTTGGACTCTCTTGCTCCCTCTGCCCCTCCCCCACTCACTCTTTCTTTTAAAAAAATAATTTAAAAACCTTGGTTTGTGTCATTCTCTGCAGTGCTGAGTATGGATAACATAGGGGTGCTGAAAGAGCTAAATCTGAGCCCCTTTTGGGGGGGCCATAGCTCCAGCTGTTCACACAGGACATGCTCAGAAGTAAAGGTGTCCCTCTAAACTTTTCAGTGGCTTCCAACTTTACCCAGACTAAAATACAAACTCCTTATCCTGGTTTATAAAACCCACTATGATCTGGCCCCTGCCTACTTCTCAGATTTTAATTTCTCTACCTAACCCACTGTGCTCTAGCCATTAGGTATTCCCTCAGTCTCTGAATTTGCCAAACTTTTTCTCAGGGCCTTTGCACTGTTTCCAGCACGTGGAATGCTCTTGCACCTGATCTTTGCTTGGCTAGATCTTAACCATTCAGCTTAAACTCAGCTCCTCAGCCACCTAACTTAGTTACAGAGTCACTCTTGCATTACCCTGTTTCTTCTGCAGAGCCCTTACCACTACTTAATTTGTCTATCTCCAAAGCTGGAGTGTAGCCTAGCTTTGGAGATAGACATGAAAACTGAAACTTTTTTTGTCTTGTTCACTGCTGTCTAGCTTGTCCTCAAGCAGTGCCTGGCTCAGTGATGCTCAGTAGATAACACTGGATGAATGAATGAATGAACACATTAAGTCTGGATGCTTATCATAGAACCAAGTTAAGACGTAGCACAAGACAAATGAATACATCGCTGTGGTATTCAGGTTGGAAATAAAATGTGGAAACAATAAAAACTATTAAAAAAAAAAAAACCATAGGTCTGGATGAGCTCACCTACAGTGAAAGCAAAGAAAGATTCTATTGAAACTTACAATTTATTGACATAAATGTCAGTAGAGAAGGGGCCCGGAAAAGGGCCTGCCCTGTGCCCCTTTATGGAGCTCAACCTCTCAGACCTAAGAGGAGCAAAAAAGGGCCCTCGGGCCAAGTTTATCCCTGGCACCGCCCTCTCGGCCGGTCTCCGCGCACAGGGCCCCCACGCACCTCTGGGGGAGCCATCCTGGGGAGCGGCGACCCTCTTGGTGAGCTGCGTGCGCTTGGGTCCCCCAGCTAGGGTCTGCAGCCCGTAGGAGAACTGCGGCGGGTCGTTCCAGCCACGCTCCTTGTTGCCTGCGGAAGTGAGGGGACATGTGAAGCGAGCCCCAGAGAGACGACGGCTCCACCCCCCGTGCAGTAGCTGCTTTCAGCTTGGGCAGGGGGACGACCCAGCGCCCCTAGGCCGCCGGCCGCGCTCACCCGGCTTCACGTACAGCTCCGCCATCTCCACTTCCGCAAGGCCGGCAGCACAGCGCGTCACTTCCGGGGCGGCCGTTCACCCGAGCGGGCCAGGGCCGCCTCCGGGCCGGCCGGTTGCCAGGAGCCCTCTACGTTGAATGGCTGTTCAGAAATGCCGGGAGCCGCTGTGGGAACGCTACCCCAGCTCCCTAAGGAACTCGAAATCTCCAGCTAATAAAACATCGGGGCCCTGATCACAAGGCACTAAAGGGGGCTGTTTTCCAAGGGGCGGCGCTCTAGGAGTCCTAATCCCCTGTGGGTTCAAACTGTCACAGTTGCTCTCAGGAGTAAGTTTTTTTTTTTTAAAGATTTTATTTATTTATTCATGAGAGACAGACAGAGAGAGAGAGAGAGAGAAGCAGAGGGAGAAGCAGGCTCCCAAGGAGCAGGGAGCCCGATGCGGTACTCAATCCCAGGACCCTGGGATCATGACCTGAGCCAAAGGCAGACGCTTAACCATCTGAGCCACCCAGGCGCCCAGGAGTAAGTTTTAACCACCAGAAACTTCTGCCTCACAAATGTCCCTGTGTGATCTAACCAGCTGGAATTCTAGAACCTCACCTCTGTCTACTGCCCTGCACGTTTATACTCTCTAGGCTCCGTAACTAGTATTCACTTTCCTTCAGTACTTAAGTATCTTACTGGAGCCTCCACAACCCTGAGATTTCCCAGTTGTACTACATATTATCTACCTTATTTAATGCTTGTTCATCTCGCCTTCTGAAGGTGGAACCCATTTTTATATTTTATATCCCCACTGTCTAGCAGACCTTAAAAGATACATTTGTTGAAAGAATGAAGTCAGATTTCTGCCACACCCATATCCTCATGTGACTACAGGCAGCCAACACCAAGCAGAGACACAGACACACCTCACGCAGGTGTTAACCCCCAACCCTGTCCCAGGCCCAATATACTCACACCCAGTGAGGTCACTGAGGGATTTTTATTTGTACTGATTTTGCTATAAAGTGTTGCTGAGGTAGAGCCAACGGTCCAGGGCTGGACAGGGACAAGGAACACAGGGACCCAGGGAAAGGGCAGCCAGGGGCCTGGGTTGTAGTGCAGGGCCTCTCAGTCATCCCTATAAACATTTAATAAACTGGGCAATAAAGAGAGGGTAGGCAAGAGCCGGAGGGGCAGGCAGAGAAGGCTTCAAGGAATGAGAGGCTACAGGCCCCTGCAGAATGAAGGGGTATAGAGTTGGGCATGGACCCAGAGCCTCCTTACCCAGTCCTCCTGGATTAACTTAGGGCATATGGAGCAGAGAGGGTTTCAGACGGAAGGCATCAAGAAAAGAGAAGACACCCCGCTTTCGAGGGGCTGCCCCTGCACCCCCAACCCCTCCTTTGAGCAGGGGGAGCGGGAGGGGACCTCCTGGGGAGTCCACGGAGCTGGTCCGCTTGAGCCGCAGGCGGGCACGGGCCTGGGCACCCCAGGCCTTGCCTCGAGCTGCAGAGGCCACAAGACACTTCTGGTACTGAACCTAGGGAAAAGGGGAATGTGAGGATCCAGTTCCTTTCTGCCCCTGGACTCCCTGACAGCTTCTGCAGAACAGGCAACTGGCCATGGGTTCAGTCCGCTATGAATGAGGCTGGTAGTCGGCCCCATCTGGAGCCCCTGCAGCATTCCCAGGGAGCTCAATAACAGAAACAGAAAATTTGACATTTCCTGAGCATTTAAGGAGGGCTGGACACTGCTAAGTGCTTCACATAATTTAACTTAATTCAAAGTTTTTTATCAGGTGTTATAACCATTTTGCAAATGAGGAAATTTTGGTTCAGAGAGAATATACGTTAACTTGCTCAAGGTCACCTAGGCAAAAAATGATAGAACTGGTATTCAGACTTACCCATAATGTACCTTAAGTGATTTTCCTGACCCACAAACTTAAATTCACTGCTCAAAACCTTTCAATGGCTCAAAGTGACTTGGGACAAAATAAACTCATAACTCATGACCACAATCTCTAAGTTCTTCCATGACCTGATGTTTTTTCTGCCCCCATCTCTCACCTCATCTGCCCCTCCAGATACACTAGATTCTTTTAGATACCCTAATCCACCAATATTGCTCTCATCTTCACAGCTGGGTGTCCGTGTATTTGGCACACCTTCTGTCCCATTCCCCTTTACCTAACTTCTTCCTTAGACCTTCAATTCTCAGCTTCCTATCACCTCTTTCAGGTGGCCTTCTGGAATGGGCCATCTCCTTCATCATCCTGTGGTATACCACTCCCTTCTGGTCTGTCTCTGATCTAACCTGAGTGTTGTGTGAGGGCAAAGTCTGTGCCTTCTCTATCAGTGAATTCCCAGGATCCAGTATGGTGTCTGGTACCCTGTAGGCACTCATGTTTGTTAAGGAAAGAGTAAGCTGAATTCATAGAGTGCAAGCATCCGTAGTATCTACTACATTCCAATGCCCACGGATGCCAGGAAATAACCTAAACGAGAGAAACAGGAGAAACAGTGCCCACCCTACCGCGAACAGCCCCTACACAATTCAGCTGAATGTTGAAATTTGTGGACCCAGTATCAGAGATTCTGATATTTTAAGAGAAACAGGAATAGCAATTAATACATGAAATATCCTGGCTCTAAATATTAGCAACTAACTTGAACTTATTAAAAACAGCATGAAGGCCAAATAAAAGAGTAGTTTACTATAGTCAGCCCTGGGATTACTGGTTTGTGATTTCTGGAGGGTGCCAATCCCAAGCCCCAGTCACCAGTACAGAGCAGCTGCAGGGCAACCCCACCCACCCATTCCCACCCGTAACTCACCATGCAAGCAGCCTGCACAGCTTCAGAGAGTCCCCCTGCATGGGGCTGGCACCAGAAGGCTGCACACTGGAAGCTCTGACGGCCCAGGTCAGCAATGAGGCCAAAGGTGTGAGGGTCACGGCCAACACCAATAAAGGTCACAAGGCGCACAGGGCACTGCCATAGTGGTTCCTCCTCTGCACCAGCTTCTGCCTGCCCACACCAGGCCTGGTCACTAGAGGACCGGGCACTGGCTGGACCCAGTGAGCTCTTCCAATAGCAAGCAATGAGCCCCTGAGCATCCCTCCCACCCCTCCACAGCCCCCACCTTCACCTTCTTCTGGTACCTGAATGGGATGTGCAGTCATTAGAGAGTCAGACACACTGAGCATGGCAGGGACCCAGGTATCCTGGTCCCCCCGGGTGGTGAGGGTACCAATGGCCTCATTCAGCACGTCCATGCCTGAGGGGACATGCCCACCATAGTGTCTCCCAGATGTAAAGAGAAAAGGGATCTGTGGGGAGTGTCTAGGCCCCTCTCACGGACTTGGGATTCAGAGAGATGGCAATAGAAGGGCTGGGCTTAGAATCCTGAGTTGGGAAGGATGGCACACTGTAGGCCGGAGAGGGCCATGGGAGCACTCTTGAGAAACTGTGGTAGATACTACCATACCCACCTTCCCTGACCTCACGTAGCCCACCTCCTCAGCTAGCTCAGTCCTCACCCATGGCTTTGTTGACTGGCAAGGTCCCCATGTACAGTGCCTCATACTTCTGAGCAGCCTGGCTCACTGCATCCAGCAGCTCCACTGAAATGTACACGCAGCAAGTTGGCCTGAGCACTCTCTCAATGACCCCCTTACCCACCCTTCTGAGAACTGGAACTAGTAGAAGGAAGGCCACGGATGCTCCTCCAATTCAGAGTTTGGGATCCCTGGAACCAGCACACATCAGAAGTCCCACATCTCCAGGGAAGTACTAAACAACCATGACTAAACAGCCCAAACTTGCACTAAAGTAGCCTCTTACTGCAGTGCAAGACCTCCCTCCCCATACCTTGCCGTGGCAGGTCTTCAGGGGAGATGGGGTCTAGGGAGGAGCAAGGGGAATCACCACTGACACCTACTCGCTCTGACAAGATCTGAAACACAGTGCAACCAGCATGAGATAAAGGGAGAGGATCAATACTTCCCTGACCCAACCACCTTGGAAGCTTCAGACCAGCTCCATACCCACATTCCCTGCCCCATTCTTGGCCCTTACCTGGGCACAGAGCCCATGTAGGACACTGGCGATGGCCTTGGCAGGGACATCACAGCGAAACACATGGCACTTGAGCATACAGCTGTCTTTGTCACCCGCCACAAAAGCGAAGTCCCTGGCAGGGTGAGAGATGGGGCTGGGGCAGGGGCAAGGACAGGGGTGGAGATTGGGGTAGGGTAGAGGCTGGGTAGGAACAGGGACCTGTAGTGCCTGCAGGAGACTGGAGAGTCAGGCAAGGGACATGGTGGGGATAGAATAGGGAGGTCAGGGCTGGGGCTCAAGGCACCGGGCTGTCGCTCACCTGTCACTGTTCCGGAAGCATGTGGGAGCACAGGAGAGAATCAGCCCAGCCTCTCAGGCTCTCCCCCATCCGTCCCTGCTGAGCTGGGCCCACCCTCCCCAACCAGAGCTGGACCAGGCAGGGGAGGCAGAGCTTGGGTCCATGTCAGAGAATCTGCGTCCAGGGGTTCAAGTACAGAGGATCAGCATCAGTGGGGACCACAGCCTGCAGGAGGGAGGGAGGAGCAACTCTCACTTGGGGGGGGATATAGGGGTCCTCACCGGCCCTTGGAGCTGCCCACACCCCACACACGGATGTGCACCAGAGGCTGGCAGTGGATCAGACTGTGGTCCAGAGGATTCACCAGGCTCATGGCATCCTTCTTTAGGATCATCAGCATGTTCTGGCCCTGCCAAGGAAAGGTCAGTCCAGAGCTCAGATGAAGGTGGTTGCCACAGAGAACAGGCAATTCAGCAACAACTGTCTCTGCTGGGCCCTGGGCTGAATCCCTTGAAGGGCCAGCCAGCTCACCTCACCCCAGGCACCATCTGGGGGCTGGCTGCGGCTACAGCTGCGAGTCTGGGCCAGTTGCTGGATGCAGTTATTGACTGCAATACTGCTCTTCCCTGGTACCAGATCCTCTTCGGGTACCTCTACCCAACCCAGGGAGCGGACTGCAAAGCACTGACGGGTTAGGGGAAAGGACAGGAGGGCTCTGAGTAAGTGGAGGTGGACATGGAAGTGGAACAGGAGGCAGAGTAGGATGGGAGATGTTGCAGCTTCCACACACATAAACCTTCTGGTACCCACTCCCTTCATGCTTCATCACTTCTTCCCAGCCCACTCCCACCCCTGACCTTTCCCTTGGAACAATCCACCACCCCATTCCTTGGGCCCTCAGGCCCAAAACACTACCTTAGCCCCTGGCTCCATACTCTGGATGTAGGACTCCTCACCATACCAGGACAGAGAGTTCCTGGAAGAGAGCCAGAGCTCATAAGGTGACCACACTTCCTACAGAAGGGACAGTGGGGAAGCCCTGACTGCTTGATGGGCATGAGATATGGGATAAGACCCAGAACATAGTGCCCCAAATATAAAACCAGAGTGGGAGAGGGCCCAGGACATATTAAATGAATATAACACAGAGTGAGGTTTAAAATTCAAACAAAAATTCAGGACATAGGACATAGAATAAAAGTTGCAAACGTGGAACAGGATCCAAAACTTGGACCAAAACCCCAAACTGAGACAAGACTCTCTAGAACACAGGACAGGAACCCCCAGAGAAAAGAGCTTAGTACAGTGGCCAAGATCTAGAATGTGATTTATCAGTACCCATAATAGGAAAGAACATGTAGCAAAACACAGATCATGGAACAAGGGACAAACTTCAAAATACTAAGTCTCAAGAAATGGGACAGAGCCAAGAACCTGGGCTTGAAAGCAGAATATGAGTCCAGCTGCATCTCTGAACGCCATGGAACCCCAAGTCTTTCATTCTGCCTGGCCTATCCCTGTTACCTGCGGTCCAGTGAGCTCTCCAGACTAGAGAAGGATCTCCCCTTGGGGGGCCGAAGTCCCCAAATCCCCTCCGTCTTCTGTGGAGAGGGAACTAGGTCAGTGTGGCAGCAAGCCTAGATCCACAGACGGGCTCAGACACCCCTCCTCACACTCCACCTACCGTGCCTGGATCCTCTGCATCTCCTGTCTCCCAGGTCGGGCGCTGCCACTGGGTGCTGCCACTGGGTACATGCCAATAGTAAGTACCTGCAGCATCTCGTATCTTCCTCCAGCCAGGGGGCAGTCCTGGCTCCCCCTCAAGACTCTGGTCCCCCCACAAGTCATCTACAGGAACATGGGATGGGGAGAGGAATCACAGGATTGGAGAGGGAAGGAATATTGGTGGGTTCAGAATAACCCTGTCAGAACCAACCTCCAGGGGCGCCTGGGTGGCTCAGTCCTTTAAGCAGCTACCTTGGGCTCAGGTCATGATCTCAGGGTCCTGCGATCAGCCCCACATGGGGCTCCCTGCTCAGCAGGGAGCCTGCTTCTCCCTTTTCCCGCTTGTGCTCTCTCTCTCTCAAATTAATAAATTAAAGTTAAAAAAAAAAACAAAACAAAAACACTCCTTCCAACCCAAAGGGGACAATCCTTAGGATGTCCAGGAGGTCCTTTACAGCGCAAAGATCCAGGGTTCACTTGTCCCCTGGTCCTCATCCTGAGACATACCCCGTCGGCTCCCTCGTTCCCCCTCAGCTCCCCATCCTCCCATCGGGCCCCTCCGTGCACACCATCGCAGTTGACCAGAATGATGGCCAGCATGTAATCCTTGCCCAGCATAGCCCCGACCGCGTCCCCGCCGGCCTTCGCCGGCCCGCAATCTCAGCCCAGCTCGACCTCCGGAGCGGCTGCGCTCACAAACCCAGCTTCTGCTCTGGCCAGGCCAACCGGCGCCGCACAAATACAAGGTGGGGTAAGAGCCGAGTCCCAGGGGGGGAAAGGACGAGTCTGAGCAGCGCCGCCCGCCGAGGGGTGGCGCGTGTAAACAGGCCTCTAGAAACCCAAGTGGGTGCGTGTTTCCGTGCGTGGCTGGAGGAAAAGCGCACCGACCGACCCTAACGCCCCCGCTGACATCACGGCGCAACTATGAGCTCATCAAGGGGCGGACGACCAGCGAGACGAACGTGCGCGGTGCGCACATGCGCACGAGTGAGCTCATCACGTCCAGGTCGTGAGCGCGCGCGGACACGCAGTTGTGTCGCGCCGGAGGCGTCACGTGGGAGTACCTGAGAGGAGAACACCCGGGCTCGGCCGTCGGGAGAGCACCGCCACCCTTTCCAAAAATGCCCCGGAAGTGCCTTCGCCCTCAGTAAAGATGGCCGTAGCACTTGGCAGGAGGGAGGCGGGGCTGCGCCTGCGCAACAAGTTCGGCGGGGAAGATGGCGGATGACAAGGTGAGTGAACGTGAGGGTTATCTGCAGTGCGGGGTGGTCTTCACACCGTTTTAGTCCTTGGGAGAGGCGATACTTGGAGCCTCTCTTGCGTAGGAGTGCCCTTTATGGGGTTTTTACTCTTGTCGGGTTTATACTCTTGTCGACTGCCTCAACACTGGGGAGTGGAGTAGCGGAGCACTACACGAGGCAAGCTGAGCCGGGCATCTCCCAGGTGTCCTCTCCCGGGACCCTCACGCTCCTTAATTACTGGCACACACTCAGACACACTCACCCTGACATACTCCTCACTCTTGCATTCCCTAGCCCCCCGAAATTTCCCTCCTGGAAACACGATGTTTCCAAGCCACACGGACACGGACATTCTCATTCAAACTCTCTTGCGCACACTGAATTTTATACTTTGAGGTGATCAGAGCCACTTAGTTCATTTACCCACACTCCTGCAGACAGCCACCCCCCCACCCCCACCCCAGCTAGCGCATCCAGGCACACATTCAGTTTGGGAAGCCCAGGCAGAAATCAGGTTTACCCCAGAGCGTCCAGGGAAGTGCCTCAGGCCATTATTCACCGATTGGTCTTAAGTTTAGCACCATCCGCACATTTACTAAGTACTTAACAGTTTTTGTGTTAGGCTTGGGGACCCAGTAGGCAAGACGGACCGGTTGCCACTTTCATGTAGCTTATAGTCGAGTCAGTCAGCCTGATAAATCCAGTTGAAGGTATCCTAGCTGTTCCTTTTGCCTCCCTACACACTGCTTGCTATATAAAATTCTGTAAGGATTGTCACAGATGCAGATCCCATCTGTCACCCCTTCCATGACCCCCGTGTGAATTCCCTTTTTTTTTTTAATATTTTATTTATTTATTTGACAGAGAGAGACATAGCTAGATAGAGAATACAAGCAGGGGGAGTGAGAGAGGGAGAAGCAGGCTTCCCGCTGAGCAGGGAGCCCAATGCGGGGCTCGATCCCAGGACCCTGGGATCATGACCTGAGCCGAAGGCAGACGCTTAACGACTGAGCACCCAGGCGCCCCTGTGAATTCACTTTTGAATGTCTTTTTTTTTTTTCGTTACCACCATCATTGCAGGAAGTTTTTATAAGAGATTTCTCATGCTCACACCCCCACCCACCCAGCCTCTGATAGACCTGAACAGAGAATAAGGCTGCATTAACCTGCTGGGGCCGGCTTCTTTCTTGTTCTAGGATTCTCTGCCCAAGCTTAAGGACCTGGCATTTCTCAAGAACCAGCTGGAACGCCTACAGCAGCGTGTGGAAGAGGAAGTCAGCAGTGGTGTGAGCCAGGTAAAGTTGCACCTGCCTACCACTCCCCCTGCAACCCACCCTTGGGCTACATTGCCCTATACGCTTCTGAATGGGTAATAGAGATTTATTCAGCAAATGGTTATTGAGGGCCAGTTCTCTGTGACACCCAAGGAAAGTTTCCCTAAGAAAACGACACTTGAACTGGCATCTTAAATAGAAGTTAACTAGGTAAAGAGGAGAGAAGAGAACATTTCAGGCAGATGGAACATTTGCAAAGCTGTCATGGTTGGAGGTAGCATGATGAACACGGGGAGTGACAATAATTTAGTTTGGCTACAGTAATGGGGAGCGTGATGGGAAGTGATGCTGGAAAAGCCGGCAGGGGTCAGATTCCTCAGGGACATCTCTGTAGCTTTGTGGTCGTAGGGTTCTGTGGTTGGAGTCTTCTAACCACAGGGTTCTGAGATTGTGTGATCAGGACTTCTAGGTTCTTTTTCTGCCTCTAGAACCTTGAAAGAATCTTTGGAGAGAATACTGCAGCTTTTTAGAGTAAGGAGGAGCAGGTGGTGGGATGCTCTAGGGTGAGCTTGAGTAGACCCTGGATAGAGAAGGGAGACCCTGGCTGAGTTTTCTCCTTCATTTTGCTCCACAGGATGGCTCGCTCATGTCCTCCCCATTCCTCAAGGGCTTCTTAGCCGGCTATGTGGTGGCCAAACTGAGGGCATCAGCAGTATTGGGCTTTGCTGTGGGTACCTGCACTGGCATCTACGCAGCTCAGGCATATGCCGTGCCCAATGTGGAGAAGACATTGAGAGACTATCTTCGGTCATTGCGAAAGGGGCCTGACTAGCTCTGGATCCCATGGGGAAGGAAGGATGAGCACCTCGGGCCTGCAGGTAGAGGCCTTTCAACCACAGACACCATATTTGGCTTCCCCACCTATCACCCTTTTGCTATCTGCAACTTGCCCACAGTCTTCATCCTTGCTTTCCTTCCTGCAGAGGGTAAACTGGCTTATCAGCCAGCAGTTGGGACGCCCCTCCTTAACCCCATGGGACTGGCCCTGAGACTGGCTTCTAGGGCCACCAGCCCCTTCCTCTTCCAGCCCTGACTGTGGGGTTTGCAGCTGACTCTGATTCTCAGTATTCTCTCAGCGATGTACCACGGCTCCTCCCTCCTGCGAGCTGGCTCCATACTGATTTTCCCCAAACTTGTTACAATTCCCACTGCCTCCTTGCTAGCTACACAGACTACCCGGGGGCTGGTTTGGGCATGAGTGTAGAGGACGGGGGTACGCCAGGCCTGGGCCGTCCCAGGCAGGCCCGCTGGACCCTGATGCTACTCCTGTCCACTGCCATGTATGGCGCCCATGCCCCATTGCTGGCACTGTGCCATGTCAACGGCAGAGTGCCCTTCCGGCCCTCCTCGGCCGTGCTGCTGACTGAGCTGACCAAGCTACTGCTGTGCGCCTTCTCCCTCTTGGTGGGCTGGGAAGCATGGCCCCAGGGGGCCCCACCATGGCGCCAGGCTGCCCCCTTTGCACTATCAGCCCTACTGTACGGAGCTAACAACAACCTGGTGATCTATCTTCAACGTTACATGGACCCCAGCACCTACCAGGTGCTGAGCAATCTCAAGATTGGAAGCACGGCCCTGTTCTACTGCCTGTGTCTCCGGCACCGCCTCTCTGCACGCCAGGGCTTAGCACTGCTGCTGCTGATGGCAGCGGGGGCCTGCTATGCAGCTGGTGGCCTCCAGGACCCTGGGAACACCCTTCCTGGACCCCCTTCAGCAGCTGCTGCTGGCCCTATGCCCCTGCATATCACTCCACTGGGACTGCTGCTTCTCATCTTGTACTGCCTCATCTCGGGCCTGTCATCTGTGTACACAGAACTGCTTATGAAGCGACAGAGGCTGCCCCTAGCACTTCAGAACTTCTTCCTCTACACTTTTGGTGTGCTCCTGAATCTAGGTCTACATGCAGGTGGTGGCCCTGGCCCGGGCCTCCTGGAGGGTTTCTCCGGATGGGCAGCGCTTGTGGTGCTGAGCCAGGCACTAAATGGACTGCTCATGTCAGCCGTCATGAAGCATGGCAGCAGCATCACACGCCTGTTTGTTGTGTCCTGCTCACTGGTGGTCAATGCCATGCTCTCGGCAGCCCTGCTGCGGCTACAGCTCACTGCTGCCTTCTTCCTGGCCACGCTGCTCATTGGTCTGGCTGTGCGCCTGTATTATGGCAGCTGCTAGCCCCTGACCACCTCCACCCAGACTCCTGACCCTGTAGATTGGGTACGATCATGAGAGCCACCTCCCAGGCCTCCAGACCCTTCCTCAGCAGCCAGCCCTGTAACAAGTGCCTTGTGACAAAAAGGGGTGGTGAGAGCAGCCAGGTTAGTCTCTGGAGGTGGGTGAATGAAGGGTTACCCCAGGAGACTTGAAGACTGGGTTTGATTAAAGAAACTTAACTTCCCAGAAGTCCATCCACACTAAGGAATTGGGGAAGCATCAATACCTAGGCCTTAGAAATGACCTCACCCCGAATGGAGGAGGCTGCCTGCCTCATCCTGCATGAATGCAGTTGTTTGAAGTGGGGTATGGGCACCAGTTGGCTTTCCTTGCCTCCTGTGGTCACCCCAGCAGACCCATTGCGTCCAGGCCTGGTGCGGGCTACTCCAGCCCAGCTTTGGTACATGACTCCCCCCATTAGAGACATTCACCCCTCGCTGTAATGCAGGAAAGCCCGATTGCCACAGCTTTTATACCGATCACCCAGGCCACTCTTCTAAGCTCCCCCAGCTCCAGCAACACCTGGAGACAGTGCTCCATGCTCCCTCCACCATGCTGCTCTCCACACCCACCCAGCCTTTGTTCTGGAAACCCCAGAGAGGACTGGAGCTTGACTCATCTCAGGGAATGTTGCCCCTGGGCCCTGGCTTAAGGCTACACTCCTGACCTCTCTGCTCACCCCAAGGGCCCTCTCCAAGCCCACTGCCCCCTCTACAGCTCCTAGGAGGTACCATTCTTCTCACTCTGGGTCCTGCCCCTGCCTAGCAGTTTCCCAGCTCTTTACAGTTTAGGGAAGCTCTACACAGAGTGACCTGGAACCAGGCACAGGGAAATTTGGTGTAGCTCAATCAGTGTCTCTATGTAAGCAATAAAGTCTTAATAAAGTGTTCTAGGGTGCAGGTGGTTCCTGCAATTGGCTATGGTGGTCCTGTGTCTTCCATGTTGTGTATCTTCACTCAAACGTAATTTTGTTCCCCTAGTGCCCTGAATGTCTTAATGCTGGAGTAACTTACAGACTAGGAGGAAAGACTGTTTTCTCCTAGTTGTTGCCAGGAGCATTATTTCCTTTAGGGATCCAGGGAGTGGAGACTGTTCTCTGTCGTAGAACTCTCCAAATTTCTCTGAAGCACAAACTGGGGCGCTGGGGAATTTGGAGGGATTCTTGGGAATAGAAGGTACTGGGCCTGGCAGGACAAACTAGATTTTAGGCTAGAGAACTCGTGGGTTCAGTAGGGTTTTGATTCTCATTTGCTCTGGTTCCCTCATTGATATTCCTTCCTGTCATCTCTCCTCATGGCCAGAGGAACATGAGGCCCTGCTCCCATGGGAGAATACCTAGTAAACTTAAAAAAATTAAAAAAAAAAAAAGTGAGACCTATTGGAGAATCTTAGGAAGTTGGGTAGGGTTTGGGAATCTTTTTTTCTTTTTTCTTGTTCTTTAATAAGCTCTCTAAATGATTCCAATGCACACTGCATCTTGTGAACCACTGTGTGCAGTGTAGAACTATGGCCAACCAGGCTTGAATTTGAATTCTGGCTCTGTCACTTATTAGCTGACTGTCCTCAGGCAGTTACTTAACCTCTCCAAGCTTTAGTTGCCTTACCTCTGAAATGGGGGTCAAATGGCACCTATCACTATATAGGGTAGTGGGAAAGGCTAAAATGAAGTTGTGGATATTAGGCGCTTAACAGGGACTGACACAGTGAGACCTGGTTTAGTAGTATTGTTAATTATCCATAACGAAGGTTAGCTTGGTTATTGAGTCCCATCTCTCTCTCCCTTCTAGGCCCCTTAATAATGAAGAGAAAGGAAGCTGCCCTTGCAGGATTACTGATCAGATTTCTCCCCAGGGCAGCAATCCGGCAATGACTGGCCTCAGTCTACTCTACTCCCTGCCAAAGCTGCTGGTTCTGGGCTTGCAGCTCCTGGTTCTGTGTGGCCAGGTTGATGTTGTCTTGCAGGACACCAGCCAGCAGGCTTCAGTGGTGATGCTCTGTGGTCGTGGCCTGCTCCTCCCACAGCCTTCGCCAGGCTCGGAATACCTGTGCCCAGGTTCAGAGATGTCTGTCAGTCAGCCTTGGAACCATTTCAAGCCTGCCTTCTGACCTCACTGACCTGCAGCATATGGCGTGTCTGAGCTCGGGCAGCCTGCACATGCAGGTCATAGAGGGCTGCGAGGTCCTGCTCTGCGGTGTCCTGCTCTGCCTGAAGGGCCTCCAGCTGGAGTCTCAGCATTGTCTGCTCCTGGGGCCATCTCTGCCTCTTCTTGGAGGCCTTCAGTGATAATGCATAGTCTTTGTTCAGTGCCACCTGTGTGCCAGGCTCTGTTCTAAACACTTCATGTGTATTATTTCATTTTATCGAATGAAAACCATATGAGGTAGTTGCCATTTTAGTTTTCCAAATCTGGGAGATAGATTTGGAAACTGTGGATCAGAGAAGGGACCTAACCTTGCCAAATTCACATGGCTAGTGAGAGGCAGAACTGAGATGACACATGCCTTTCAGTGGTTCACTGTCATTCTTAGGGTAAAGTCCAAATCAGAGGCATGGCACACACTGGTCTCTTTAGCCTCGCCTCTGACCCTGCACCTGCCAGGCCCCACCAGATGGACAATTTGCAATACCCAGACTACTTTGCCACTGCTTCCCTCTGGACTCTTGCTCATATAGTATTGTCCTCAGAACATATCCCCACAACGCCCACAGACACAAGTTTTGTTTCTTAATTTGTTTAAACAAGTTATATGTACTCTGCCTCTATGTGATAAGTACAGACTGCCCAAGCAGAGCTCAGCCCCGTGAATTCCTTTGGCTGATTTGTTTTTTTGTCTCAGCTAATGCCATCGTCTGTGATCCACTCCAGCCTGGGTCTAGCACACCTCTCTGTTCCCGCAAGCCCTTAGCTCCCTTCATCACAGCACTTTAGCACTGAAAATGGCTTCATCTGTCCCCCACAAAGCTGTGAGGACCAGGAGAGAGGGTATGGCCCACTCTGTTGTGACTGAGGCTGGATCCCAGCCCCCAGCACAGTGCCTGGACCAATTAGAAGAAGCCTCAGGTCCCCTACTTGACCCTCCTCACCTCCTCTCCAGCCACCAGGCCTTTGACCTGGTCACCTGCCACCTCCTCCTCCTGTTCCAAATGCTTCAGTTCCTCTTGGATCCATATTTGGTGCTGTTCGTGCAGTCTCTTCCTCCGTGCCTGGGCCAAGAAGAACTGCAGGGCCACATCTGGGACCTGCCAGGGCTAGGTGGCATTAGTCTAGACTCAGCCAGAAGCCCATGTGTGTTCACAGCCTTGGGACTCAGGGTCCAACTTTTCAACAAAACCCCACTACCAGGGCTGCTCCTAGAGCGCATCCAGGACCTAACTGGCCTGTAAGAGCCAGGAGCCTGGACAGAGACTTGGAGGTCATAGGGAGAAAGGAGAGGTATTGGCTCTGCCAATAGGTGCCATGGAGGCCTGAAGGATCCTACACCCCTAATGTGACCCAGTAGCAAAATAGCCTTCCCGTGCCCCTCCCTTAGGAATCACGTAGGCTTTTGGGTCTTCTTTTTGCCAGAAGCTCCATATTTCTCCCTGATGTTGGGGCAGGGACGCAGTAGACATATTAACTGGGCTCTGCAACTCCACTCCCCCAACATCTTCAGCTGTTCTGGGGCACGAGGTATTACCTGTTCCTCAGAGTCCCTAAGAGGATGATTTTGGTGGAGCCCAGTTCCTAGAGATGCTGTTATTCCTACCACTGGAAGAAAACGCAGTTAAGCCCAGTAAGGGTGGAGAAGACACCCAGCTCCACCCCAAGCCCCAAACCCACCTTTGGGCTCTCCCTGGAAGCCTGGGCTGTGGCTTGCTGTTGAATCTATCACCTGCTGAGAATATTGTAGGAGTGAGAATTCCATACCCTTCCTCCCAGGATAGTGTGAGCTGAGCTCAGGGCTTTAAAATCAGACAGATCGGGGTCCCA